CTCTGAAGGGCTTCCTTCTGTTCCTGAGGCCACGGAGTAAAGAGGCCACGGAGTAAAGAGCAAGGGGGGAAGGAAGTGGGTGCGAGTCTTGTCCTAAGGACTATGGGATGATGAAAGAACTCAGAAGTAGTTGGACCTGCATCCAGGAAACTTCAAGTGGTCTCACCTCGTCCAGGAAGCCTTCTTTCACTCACTCTGACTCCTTTCACTCAAACCTCTGTCAGGTATGTGTGGAATTGCTGAATGTTGGGGCTAGAAGGGATGCTAGCTGTCAACCTGTCTGGCATCGGCCTGGAGACTGGGCGTGCTGGCTGTGGGGGTACTCGGAGTATAGCTATAGCCCCTCTGTCTCTTGAGCTCACACGGCCTGCCTATTATCCTGCTTTCTGCCAGGATCTCTGCTTCCTGTGGGGGCAGGTGCCAGTAGCCCAACTTGAAGGAAGTTTCCGATCTTGGAAGGCTCTTAGCTCCATACTTCTCCAAAGGAATCCAAGAGGGATGGAAGCAAATTAGGTTAGAATGTTAGAATGCTATGATGATAGACAATGGGATATGAGAACCACATGATCCTAAAACAATAGGATGCTTGGGTCAAAGGACTTTGCCATGTCAGAAGTTAGAATTACTTTCAGATTTTAGCACATGAGGGTTATAGGATGTGCGATAACCTGTGGCAACCTCTGGCTCTCAGAGTTCGACATGAATGACCTTAGAGGTCTCCCTTGAGTCTGGCTATGTCTCCAGCCCAGCCCTGCCAGTTCTGACATTACTCATTCTGTTCCAGGCTGCAGGATGGTTGCACAAAGTAAACTTTTCCTGAGAAAGCCCAGTTCCCTGGAGCTAGGGACACAATTGCCATTTTTATCTACTGCCTGGGACTGAGACACCCCAGCTCCCACTACCTGAGGCCTGGGGTCCAGGAGATGCCTTGTGACTGAATGGAATGAACTCGATTTTGGGTGATTTGGTCCTGGATGTCTTTATAGAACATTCCTAGGTGTTGACAATTCTGAAGAGGAGTGTGCCTGCTCTGGAGTAGTTCATATACAGTGGGAGGCTCATTGAACAGGGGGTACTAGGATAAATTCAGGAAGTAGCCTGGAGGGCAGCATCCTCATTTGCACCCCAGATGTTCAATGTTGCTGTCAGAAAGCTTACAATCTGTGTCTCGAGATTACTGCAGGTTCACGGGTCCTCATTGCTAGTTAGATCATCTGTGTTCTTGACAGACAGAGCAGGTATATGACAGGCATGTGCCCTAATCCTGATCCTCAGCAGGCATCACTCATCAATCAGGGCCTCTTCTCTGCTAAGCTCTGATGTGTGTTATCAATCTTTACATCCTCCCACTCCAGGTAGCCACTACCAATCAACCACAGTTGGACCATGCTATGAAATTCATTTAACTTCCGGTCCATGCCAGTTCTTGTGGCCAATCTCTCTTGAATTTGTGGCAAATGTTCTCCTTTTCACATCAAGAATCTCCCATCTTCCTGCCTTTTCTCTGCAGATTACTTCACATTTTACTCTACAGAGAGGAGCTCTTATGAGAAGCCATCAGCTGGGACCTCTCTTTCCTTTTAGCCTGCTGGTCTGCTCCCTTCTTCCCTTTGATTCCAGGGGAGGATGGCCTCCTCTACCGAAGGCCACACCCTCTATCTGAGCTCTGGTCACGTCCCTCCTGCCTCCTCAGAGCCCTGGGCCAGTAATTTGTTCCCACTCTCTCTCTCTCTTCTGTACTACCCTCCCTCTAACTCTAGTCTTTTTTTTATTTTTTAAATATTTTATTGATTTTTTGCAGAGAGGAAGAGAGAGGGATAAAGAGTTAGAAACATCGATGAGAGAGAATCATTGATCAGCTGCCTCTTGCATACCCCCTACTGGAGATGTGCCTGCAACCAAGGTACATGCCCTTGACCAGAATCGAACCTGGGAACTTTCAGTCTGCAGGCTGATGCTCTATCCACTGAGCTAAACTGGTTTCGGCGCTAACTCTAGTCTTTCCCGCATGTGTTAAATATGCTCAGTTCTCTCCTATCTGTAGAGAAGGTGGTGGAATAATATAGTTACCAACTTTTTATTTTGCCAAGTAAGGACTTGAAAAGCCCCATTTGTCTTATATCATCATTATATTTTCAAAAGAATAGTTAAACTTCAAACACAGTAGAAAAAAAAAAGATCACCAGACTAAAAGATAAGCCAGCAAATTGCATAAACTTAGCTAATAAAAAATTCCCCAACTTGTACTTATTTTTCTCAGTTATTTGAAGATCAGAGGAAATCCAAAAACCCACCTAACATCTTCGGGGGCCCTTCAGGGTCAGCTTGTCCTTCTGCAGGATCCTGGCAGTCGGGAATCTGACCTCCCCTCCCCCGGGCTGGCTCACTCCTCCACAGCAGCAGCCTGGTTCCTTCCAGAACAGTGATTTGCACACTCGTCACAGCTATCTCCCGAGAGGAAGGGCTTCCATTCAGGCCCCCAGACGTCACCCAGGCCTGATCCGAGTTTGCACATATGTCTGCCCCCCAATTACTCCTGAACCTGCTGAAGGGTTCTTCTGCTGGCCTCCAGAAGAGGCCAAATAGAAACATCGCAGACATGAGGAGAGTATTCTTTTGAGGTGCACCAGCTAAAAAGACAACCTCCCCACAAAATGACCAGCATTTCTGGGAATATCCAGGCAAGGGCACCAGCACAGGAGAAATGGCCAGGACCTGTACCCAAGAGGCCAGGACCCAGAGATCTGCCTGCACAGCTGTGTGGAAGACACTCTCTTCTTCTGGGCCTTGGTTTTCATCTGGAAAATGTGCATATAAAAACCCATCTTGTGGTGTTACTATGAAGATCAAAGGCAATGCAATCTAAGAGGCTGATGGCTGACACACAGTAGGTTCTTTATTGTAAGAATCCCTCCACTCTGGCACAGAGTTTTAGCCTGGTGATCTAAAATGAGTGTACTCAACATAATCGCATGAGACAGGTGTATTATCCCCATTTTATAAAGGAGAGGCTGAGGCCCTTGAAGGTGAGAAGGCTTTCCCAGGCTCACTTAAGGGACGCTAGTAGAGCCACACTTTACACCCAGGCATCCTGACTCCAAAGCCCTGACCCTTTGCCCCAACTTTCCCTGTGGAGCAGCACAGAGCAGGGGGCAGTCTGTCATCAGCACTGGAAAGGTCTGGATAGGCACTGGTCAGGGTATGGGGAGTGGGGGAGAGATAGGCACTGGGTGGGAGGGGCAGGCATCAGTGCCACTACCCACCTCCTTTCTTAGCTTGTGTGGCCCCTTCCCAGTGCACCGGAGCCCAGAGTCTTCAGGGCCTTCACTGGCTTCTGAGGTGAGCCTGTGGCAGAACCACAGCAGGGGCCCTGCTCAGACACCTGGCAAAACTGGGCTAGCATTGGGTGGGTGTCTTATAATTATGTTTCTGTTTCCCAAGCTATTTCCTGGGACACCCAGTGAAACTGGTTCTGGGAGACCTATGCATGAGCAGACACACGTCAGGGGTGGCTAGGCATATCTCCAGTGGCATAGACCCTCCCTTCCTTCCGCAGCCTTGGGGGCCCTGTGCCTTCTTTGAGGATGGGGCAGAGGATGGATAACAAGAGTCAGACTGACTTAGGTCCCCAGAGCTCAATGATATGGGAAGGCCTGAGATGGAACCACAGAGGTACCCAGACAGAATCCGTGGCCTTAAAGAGGCTGCCCCAGAGGTCCTGTGTGTCTGAAGCCACCCATGTGCCTCTCCTCATCCATGTGCTGAGGGCTGCAGAGGAGGGAACCCAGGCATAGATATACGAACCCTAGCTTTTGCCCTTCAAGTTTATGGGGTTGAATGGCAGGAGCAGGAGGTGGGGGAAGGCAGACCTCAAACAGTAGACATGTCCCAAAGCGTAATTAGGATCCTTCCAGGTTAGACCAACTGCTCGGCTTGGTCTAACTTAGCCTGACCCAGGCAGACCCTGTGTGGGAAACGGTCCAGTGAAAGGAGGGGTGAGAGGGCAGTGGCTGTCAGTGCTCGCCAGGCCTCTTGCTTAATTCTCATGAAACAGGAGGTGAATTTTATCAACCCAAATGGTGGTAACATGAAAAAAATACATGTTTGTCGTAGCTCTGGAACAAAAGCTGACTAGTAAAGTAGGCAAATGCAATATCCTGTTCCTAACATGGACATCACTGTCATCAGCAGTGCCAGCACAGAGACAGGAAGAAAAATTTGGAGAAGAAGAAGGATGGGGGAAGGAATAGGGAGAGACGCTGAGCAAGCCCTGCACCTGGACATTGGGACTTCACTTTGTACAAAGAGGCTGGAGCCCCCAGGAGAAGCATCAAGTTCATGGTCCATATTGGGATAATAAATCTTGTCGTAATTGTCATGATAATGTCGTAATTGTCATGATAATAGTGGCCGCCATTGTGAGTTCTTACTATATGGCAGGCTATTTAAATGTTGTCACTAAATTCTATAACTCTTCTCCAAGATAGATATTTTAAATTCATCGAATAGTTTTGCTATAACTCATAGAGGAAGACTTGAGCCTCTGAGAAATTACCATCCAAAGGTCATGCAGCCTGGATGGAGTTTGGGCTGAGATCTGTAGGCAGGTCTGGGGCATATCAGAGCCCACCTCTGCCCACTGAGTCACATGGCCCTGGCTCTGCTGGAGGAGAGGGGTCCAAGGCTGGGCGGGGGGTAGTGGGAACTGGCTCAGTTCTGGCTCCCAACATGGCCTCCTGGGACATGAAGGGCCACAAAGACTGTGCTGGCCTTGGCCAGAGCTATCCTCTTTGTTCACGGAGACTATAATGGAAAAAACTCTTGACTAGCAACATGAGAACCACGTTGGGTCCCAGGACTGCTGAGCACATTGTAGCTTTCCCTGCCCCATTGCGGGCCTCAGCTTTTCCCTTTATGAAGCAGAGGTCAGGAAAGGGTTTAGCAAATCTCCCAGCCCTTAGGAATTCTGCAAATAATCCCTTCCCCATTCTGGTCCAAACCTGCTCCGAAGGCAAAGAAACAGATCTTGTCTTCATTCTCCTGAAGAAGCGCCATGACCCTCTTCCCCATGCGCTCGTTCCGCTTGTAGATGAGCTCCTGGCGGAAGTAGCTGTCGATCTCCTGGGCTGTCACCTGCTCGTGTGGCGGGAGTGTGGTGTTGATAAAGTTGGGCAGCTGCAAAGGTAAGACAGAGGCTGCCTTCAGTTCTTTCTGGAGCAAGGTGGGCTTCAAACACACACACAGCCTAAGTGGGCGAGCAACTTACCTTTTCTATGTCCCCCCAGTGGGCTATATGTTTTTCATCAGTTCCAAACCCTTTGAGATGAGTGTGTTTATTCCACTTTTATAAGTGAAGAAAGCAAGAATGGAAAGGTCTAGAGACATGTGCAAAGACACACAGCTAGCAAAGAGGCTGAGCAGGAAGAGAGCCCAGACAGCTGCCCTCGGACGTGTACCCTTCCGTGTCTCTGCATTGTTGAACCTCAGCTTCCAGGCGTTGAGGTCCTGGGAGGTAGCCAGAGCTCAGTGGCTTCACTGCCCTCCCTTCGGCAGTCTGGCACTGGCACATCCGGGAAATTTTGTTCAGCAAGCATGTGTGGATGGTCAGCTGAGCTGCATGGTACAGCAGAAGGGCCATAGGGTATTGGCTTCAGGCCCTGTTCTGACACTCTGTGACTTTGGCCAAGTTACTTAACTTTCTGAGCCTCAGTTTCCTCAGTTGTAAGATGGGAATGACAATATTTTTTGGGGGGTTACATGAGATGATTGCTGCTCCCATGAGCCATAGTAAGCCCACTCCATCCTGCACAGATGAGAGCAGAGGTCCTAACTCGGGTTTTCCCAATGCCTGAGCCTTGTTTCCACCACTATCTCTCCATCCCCAGCTTCACCGCTTCCCAGGACATAACCAAACTCCTCCATCCTTCAATTCCAAGACATGGCTTCCTCCATAGTGGTGGCTTGTTTAGCAACCTGGCCTGGAACTATATCGATTTCTCAGCTCTGGACCCACTGTCCACACCCAGCCACGTGACCTGGGGCCACTATCACTGACATGTTCTTGAACTAGGCAGAGAACAACTTGAGTTCAGGGACAGAACCTTTATCAAGGCCTGGAACAGAAGAGGCATCCAGAAGAGGGTTCTGGAACTTTGAAATAAAGCTGTGCTATACTTCCTGACCACATGGCCTTCTCCTGCATTCTTCTCTTCCTGGCATGTTGTCTTTCCATTTGGGTGACGGGTCCAGGTGTCCTGCGCTGTGGTGTGACTTAGAGGAAGCCATGGCCACGGAGGAAAGAGAACAGACCTCTTTCCCACACCTGTCAACGTCCATGCTGTTGCTCACGGCATGTCTTCCTCCTGGTGTCTCTTCTCCATTTCTCTGTCTTCACCAATCAAGGCCTAAAGCACAGGCCACAAGGCCCAGCTGACTGATGGACTAGCTAGATGGAGAATCTGGCACCAGAAGACTAATTTCCTGCAGGTTTTAGCCCCCAGAAGAATCATGTGGCCCAGCCACATGGCTTCTAGAGCCACTGACGAGTTGTCAACACTCTTTCTGAGGAAAATGAAGGCATCAATGGAGGCTGAGCCCCGAGGGACTTGGAGAAGGCCGAACATCTGTCTCTGATATCTGCTGGCCAAGGACCAGTGTGCTCCTCAGGGCGAGAGGGGAGGGGATGCTTTGCCAGAAAGGCCTGGCTTGTTGTTCTAGGCTGAGCAGGACAGTGCTATGGCTAGTGTCTCCTATAGAATTGTAGGTAGGAGCCATGCCAGTGTCTGATAGGCTGGCACTCACAGGCTTTTGGGCAAATGGATAAATGAAGAAATAGAGTTCTTACTACATCCCCTACTGTGGAAGGGATGATTGGCAACTCAGACAGTACAGGCTACACTTAGATTTGCTGTAGCCATAAGAAAGGCAACCCTGTAGGCTTCCCCTGGAGGGGAATGCAGAGAGCTGGGACACAGAGGGGTTATTTATGAAAGCATGGCCCTCTCAGGCTCCTCTTCATTCCTTGAACATGGGAAAGAATGTAAGACATTGTTGTACCAACACACAAATATTTGTTCACACTGTGAATGAATGAATGGTTGAATGAGCTTAGAGGCAGTAGAGTTAAGGTGATATGAATATGGGTCCAGAAGTCAGGGCAACTTGGGCTGGATCCCTCTTCTACCACTTTCCAGCTGGGTGGCTCTATAACTAGCAAGTGACTCGGCCTCTATGATACTGGGTTTAGAAATTGGTAACATGAGGGTATTATTTTTATTGTCCACACTCATACACTTTTGAGAGTGAAAGCTCATATATAATTAAGAGTCAGAATAACTACCAGGCTTGGGTCAGTCTGCCCTAACCATGAACCTGGAATGTCCGGGAAAAAACCAAGACATGTTCACTCTGTGAAGTGCCTCCTGTGGCTCCCTAACCCTTCGGCACCCTCTCAGACACAGATCCCACAGTGTTCTCATGGACAAGTCTGACTTCCCACTGGGTTACAAGCTCCATCCATGGCAGCAGACCCAGTCCGAGGATGATCTATGGCCCCCTAGTTTGATACAGAATTGTACCAGTGGGAGTTCTCAGAAGATGTCTGTTGGATGAATGGGGTGAAGAAAAGGGATGAGGCCATTGAGGCCTCTGATGCATGAAGATAGCACTCAACTGTCAAACCTGACCCAGTCCTGGTTGTGGGTCAGGGGAGCCCACACTGAGGTCACACCCACAGCCCTAGCCCATCTTCTTACCACCCCATTTCAGACCCATCACTCTAGGGCCCTGGGGACCTGACGTGTCCTCTTTAAAATCTTATCATGTGCCCTGCATTTACATTTGTCACAGAAGATGTAAGGCTGCCAAAAAGTCTAATGACATTAATTTGCTCCAGGCTCAAACCCAGGACCCACAGCCCACCCTTGGCATTGAGCAAAGGCCCATCAGCATGAAACAGGCAGAGAATGTTGGCAGCCACTGAGCAGCCCAGGGAACTTGGGTGCCTCACCGAACTCCTTTGCAGCTTTGACATTCAACTTTTTGGTTCTTGTCCTTGTTAAATGTTTTTTAGCTTCCTAAGGAATGAATGGAGATTCACTTTTCCGCACATGCACACTCTTGGTCAGGAAAGCAAATAAATCCTTTCTGGTTCTCTGATGGCTCCGAAGGCCATCTCTTCTCATCTCCGTCTCTGCCCCTGCCCTAAGCCACCCTTACTGTGGCCTCTACCATCACAACTCCATGCCCCAGGTTAGTTGTATGAAGCTGACATTTAGTTGCGACTTCTTCTGTGCCGTGCACGGTGCTATGCATTTTCCAAAACTGATCTTACTCAAACCCTAAAATGACATAGGCATCTCACCCATCAGAGACAGCTCACAGGAAATCTGAGCTTGCCATCTCCAAAGGCCATGCCATTCCCCCCTCCTTCAGTTTAGTGTTAGCCACAGCCTGGCTAAGCTCTGTCCTGCATGCCCCTTCCTCCAGCAGGGCCACATCATGGCCTGGACATCTCAAGTGGTGACCAGGTTGCCTCTGCAACACAGCTGTTTGCTCAGGGTTCACCAGCTTTTCCCTAATGGAGGACACAGGGTAGGGCTCTGTCACAAAGCAAATGGCTGGTGGAATGCCTATGAACCTTGTGGTGTCGGAGTTCTCTCCTGCTCCTTCTCCACTATGATAGAGCTCTCAGAATCTGAGTCTCCTGTGGCCAGGTCTCTGGATCCTTTCTCCTTCCTTCTCTACACCAAACCATGTACAACGTGTGTCTTACTACATTCGTTCATGCACCAGTTGCTCACTGATACACACTTGTGCCAAGCCCTGTGCTAGCACTGGGATCGAGAGATGAGCACCACACCCTTGCTCTCAAGAGCTCTCGCTCCAATGGGGTGGTGCATGTGCAGAATGACACAACATAGACCCCGTCTGTACCTCCAATGCAAACTCTCACCCTCTTCCTGGTAGAGCCATGCTTAGCTTCTCGGGGACCCACCCACTATCTGCCCAGCCTGTGGGTGGTTTTTTTCTCTAGGCTTTAAAACAAGGCAGAACGCTCTGGGTTAGACTTCAGCCCAAGCTCTGAGTCTGATTAACTGTGGGGTTTCTCTCCCTGGGTTTTAATTTCACTATATGCTGAGCTGGACACTCTGTCCTTCCAGGCTAAGCTTCTTGGATATACACACATCAGGCTCAAATACTGCTCTTCATAAATTGATAACCCAACAAATAATGAGTGGTGTGGCCTTGGACAAGTCTCTTCCCATATCTGAACCTCAGTTTTCCCATCTGTAGAATGAGTATCCCAACAGATCCTGCTTACCATGGTTGGAGAGAAGATTGTGTTTGGCACACTGTAGGCATCTAATAAATGCCAGGTGGGTTCCCATGGGTCTGGCCTCGGGAACTAGTGATGCAGGGGCTGTCCAGGCTGGAGGAGGGGAGCCTCACCTGTGACGTGTCATGGTTGAAGATGACAGCATTGAGGTCCCCACAGTTGTAGTGCTTGATGAGGTCCTCCGTGGTATAGGGCGCCTGCAGGCTCCCGGCTCGCACGCTCTCATGCTGCAGCAGGGTCTGGTTCAGGGCAAACAGCACCTGTGCAGAGGGAAGAAAGAGAAATAAGCGATGTGCTCAGGGACCTGGCTGAGGTCCCTGACACCTCCAGGACTGGTGGTCCTCCCTCTGGACCTTGGGGCAACAGGCACTGAAACAGAGAAGGTGTGTGGGGCCGGCACCAGCTGGCGCAGTCTGAGCGTTTCCACATTTCCCACTCCTTACTCACCGACCTCTGAACACGTGCAGCCTATTCCCGTCCCCAGCCCTCTGCCCACACTGTCTCCACTCCTGCGAAGAGTATTAACATAGTTTTTTTTTTTTAGTTTTTTTTTTTTATGGTTTTTAAAAATTGATTCTAGAGAGAGGGGAAGAGAAAGTGAAAGGGAGGGAGAGAGAGGGAGGCCAGCACACACACACACACACACACACACACACACACACACACACACACACACACACTTGCCACCTCCTGCATGCCCCCCACCAAGACTGAGCTGCCTGCAACCTGGGCATGTGTCCTGATCAGGAATCAAACTGGCGACCTCTCAATACATGGGACGGTGTTCAACCAACTGCGCCACACTGACCAGGATTGAGTATTAATATTTTATCTAAAGACTAGAGGCCGGGTGCATGAGATTTGTGCACAGGGAGGGTGGGTCCCTCAGCCCAGCCTGCACCCTAACCAATCTGGGTCCCCTAGAGGGATGTCCGACTGCCCATTTAGGCCTGATCCTGGTCAGACATCCCTCTCACAATCCAGAACTGCTGTCTCCCATCTGCTTGCCTGTCTGCCTTCCTGATTGCCCCTAACCACTTCTTCCTGCCAGCCTGGTCACCCCCTAAGTATCCCCTGCCTGCCTGATTGATGCTTACCGTATTTTCCGGCGTATAAGATGACCCCTAATTTTACAGTTAAAACATAGGTTTAGGCCTATATTCGCTGTATAAGACTACCCCCCACTTCGAGGCAACACCAGTTCTTTTTTTAATAGACTGCCTCTTTGACTCTGGCCAATCTGAGCAGGCTTTTTACTAGAACACAGTGTAGCTTCGGGTACAGAACATTTATAATTTGCATGCATAAAAAGTCTGCTTGGATTGGCTGAGTTAGAGAGGCGGTCTGAGCAGCCTTGCAGTGATTGGTGCAGGATCGAGTTGGAAAATTCGTTTAGCGGCATATCGAGACTTTTTTGGGATATACTTGGCATATAAGACGACCCCCGATTTTCGGTTGACTTTTTCGTTTCAAAAGTCATCTTACATGCCAGAAAATACGGTAATTGCTCCCTTGCCCGCCTGATTGCCCCTAACTGCCCTCCCCTGCAGGCCTGGTCAACCCTATCTGTCCTCCCTTGCAGGCCTGGTCCCCCCCAACTGCTTTCCCCTGCAGGCCTGGATTATGCCCCCAACTGCCCTTTCCTGCATGCCCAGTCACCCCCAACTTCTCTCCTCTGCCAGCCTGGTCACCCTTATCTGCCCTCCCCTGCAGGTTTGATTGCCTCCAACTGCCCTCCCTTGCAGGCCTGATCCTTCCCAACTGCTCTCCCCTGCTGGCCTGATTGCCCACAATTTCCCTCCCTTACAGACCTGGTGTCCCTCCCAACTGCCCTCCACTGCTGGCCATCTTGTGGTGGCCATCTTTTGTCCACATGGGGGCATCAATCTTGTGTGTTGGAGTGATGATCAATTTGCATATTACTCTTTTATTAGACAGGATAGAGGCCTGGTGCATGGGTGCGAGCCTGCTGGTTTGCCCTGAAGAGTATCCTGGATCAGGGTAGGGGTTCCCTTGGTGTGTGGGGTGGCCTGGGCGAGGAGCCTGTGGTGGTTTGCAGGCCAGCCACACCCCATAGAGACCAAAACCGAGGCCCTGGATTCTGGGATTTATTTATCTTCTATAATTGAAACTTTGTAGCTTTGAACGGAGGCTAGAGCAGGCCAGGGCAGGTGGAAAGCTTGGCTTCCTTCATCTCCAAGGAAACCCAAGCCTCATTTGTTCTGTGGCCATAGCCATTTTTGTTGGGATTTATTTATCTTCTATAATTGAAACTTTGTAGCCTTGAGTGGAGGCCAAGGCAGGCCAGAAAGCTTGGCTTCCTTCATCGCCTGGGGCAACCCAAGTCTCCTGCTCTCTCCAGCTCCATGGCTGCCACCATTTTTGTTGGGATTTTTTTTATCTTCTATAATTGAAACTTTGTAGCTTTGAGTGGAGTCCACGGCCAGCCAGGGTGAGTGTGAAGTTTGGTTTCCTCCATTGCTGGGGAAAACCAATCCTCCTGCTTGCTCCGGGGCTGCAGGCACCTTGGTTGGGTTAATTTGCATACTTGCTCCTGATTGGCTGGTAGGCATGGCATGTGGGTGTATCAGAGGTACAGTCAATTTGCATATTATTCTTTTATTAGATAGGATGTGACAAAATAAAAACTCTAATTGTGTCTGGATTTTGGAATGATGGGTAAGTTTTCCTTTGGGTTCTTCTTTTCCTGTGTTTAGGAATGTTCTAGAATGAGCACAAACTCACTTTGTAATTGGGAGCACCCCCAAACAAAGCAAACAAACAAATGACCCAAACAAGCTTAGATGTCAAGGCCTAACCCAAATGCCACCCATTCCAGAAGCCATCCTCACCAGGAAAGGCCTAGGAGCAGGGCCCCCAGGGCTGACCCATGCCCCCAGTCAGACACATTCACACATGTTTCCTCAAGAGCCTCTATGCTGGGCCCTGGGAACACTGCTGACACCCAGGCAGACCTGACAGGCATCAGGACCACTTGGAATGCTCCCGACTGTCAGATGCCCAGCTCCCATCCATGGAATTGGAATCTAAGGTGGAGCCAGAATGTGAGTCTTAACAGGCTCCCTGGAACTTCTTCACAGCCCAATGGCTCCTGGTGTTTGAGGACCAGGGGTCTAACATAACATGACTCACCTGAGGTCTGAGAGCCCTGAGACATGATCTTCAAGGTCCCCTTTTAGATGGGAAATGGAGGCCTGTGAGGGGAAGGGACTTGCTCAGTTTCACACAATGACTGTATGCCAGTCTCCCTTGTCCAACCAATAGGAGGAGCCGGACATTGAGATATGGGGAAAAACTTGTTGCAAGTCCTGTGCAAAACATTTGGAGGTGGTCTTGGGCTACCTGGCCCGTTAGTTCTCAGGCTCTGCTTATTATTTTTGTACACTGTGTTGGATGACAGTCCCCCAGCCTCTTGATTCACACCAATTCAGGTCCAGGCATCTCTCACTGGGTCCACTGCTCTATGCTGTCCCTACAGACCCCTCCCATCCCATCTAGCCCATAGTCTTCTGCGAATGCCATCTTTTAAAAACACAAATCTGATGGTCTCCTCTTTTTTGCTCAAAACTTTCCTGGGTGTCTCCTGCCCTCACATACAAGAAAGTATGCAAGGCAGTTACCTGGACCCTGCTGTGGTCAGTGACCATGTTTCTGACCCAGCCTTTGTGTCCTCAAGTGCTCAACTATGTAGCCATCTCTGTGCCTTGTACATGTTATTTCCTGTGCATCCCATCTCCACTCTCCACGTACAAATTCAGACTTGGCCATATAGGCTCAGCTCAGATATCTCCTCCACTAAACTTTTCTGAGCCTTCCATGGGACTCCCAAGGTCTCCTAGTATTCATGCCCTTTTCCCTGGAAGCCAGTAGCTCCCTCCCATTCTGATTCTGGGATGTTACTAACTAGTTCAAGTAGTGGCTGAAAAGCTCTAATGTGCTTCTTCTGCCCCTTGCATCTCCACTATTGCCCCAAAGGCACCCAAGCTAACCTGCCGGGGGATGAGACATGGAGGGCAGAGCCACATTGCTTCAGTTGTCCCACCAAGACCATTCTCACCTAGCCAACAGCCATCCAGCTTCCAGACATGCAAGCAAGCCCAACAGAGCCCACTTGCAATTGGGCTCAGATGGCTGAGCAAACGCTCATCGCCATTGCCACATAGCACAGTTGTGGCGACACTTTCCTCTATGTTTCCCTCCAGTACAGCGTGTACATTAGAGTGTAATGCCATCTCTCCCAATAGGTTATGAGCTTCTTGAAGACAGAAGTGCTCCTTACTCATTTTGTATTTGTAATACTCAGCATGAGACCTGGGAAAGACAGCATGCTACCCCACCCTTTCCTTAGCACTTTGATAACTGCTCTGGTCACTTCATAGTTCAAGGGTGCTTGACAATCCCTCAGACTAGCCCTTAGAATGTTGGCACCCTGTCTGCATTTGGGGCACACCACGACCACATGGCATAAGTTCCCACCAAGTGGTGTTACCGCATGGTTCCAGACAAAAAAGCTCATGCAATAGGTACACAAAATCTGCTCCAAATACTGTCATGGGCAATGGGACCAAAATGTGCTTGTTAGATCACCTCCACCCATCTCCTCCCACATTTATTTCTGGCAGTGAGGAGAGCTGGATTGAGCATGGACGCAGCAGTCCAGACTGCTCCCCCTAATGAGCTGGCTGGAGATGAGGTCAGACCCCACCACCCTACCTCTGGGCCTTCTCCAGGCTCTGGCCACTACCCCTGAAATCCGATCTGTGGCCACCTGGTGCAGGGTGTTGATGGCAGCATGGTGGCTGGGGATGGATCACAGGAGGCAGTGGACCTGTTGCTGAGGACATTGCTAAGGCAACAGGCACTTCCTCCCACATGGCACATGCCTTGGATGAAAGCATCCGTGTCAAGCTGGAACGCTCCACTTTCCTCCTCTGGCGGCTGAGACACACAGACCTCCTGTGACCACACCCTGTTGCTGCACACACCTGCCCAGTGCTTCTCAGGGCAGGCCTGGCCCCGCACCACTTGGCCTGTGATGAGGTCATCCGCTCAGGCACCCAAAAGACACGCCTGGAGGAGAAATGGCTCCCTTGGACCTTCTTAGCCACAAGAAGTCATTTCCTCAGTCACATGGCCCTCGTGGAGCCTGGAGGTACTCTAGTGAATGAAGCACTTACAATCTGCAGGGTGCTAGGAACAATTCTGGCAGTAGAGAGTGCTGGCTAAATGACACTTGGAA